TGGGGAGGTACCTGTTCATTCTCAGCCCAGGGGGAGGTACCTGTTCATCCCTCAGCCCAGGGGAAGGTACCTGTTCATCCCTCAGCCCTGGGGGAGGTACCTGTTCATTCTCAGCCCAGGGGGAGGTACCTGTTTGTTCCTCAGCCCAGGAGGAGGTACCTGTTCATTCTCAGCCCAGGGGGAGGTACCTGTTCACTCCTCAGCCCAGAGGGAGGTACCTGTTCATCCCTTAGCCCTGGGGGAGGTACCTGTTCATTCTCAGCCCTGGGGGAGCTACCTGCTCACTCCTCAGCCCTGGGGGAGGCCCGAGTTTCTCCTCACAGGCCGTACCTTGTGACCATGAGCCAGCCAAGGGGTGACCAAGTGACCCCGAGTTGAGCCCCACGAGCCCACGAGCTCAACCTCAGGGTTTCAAGTCTCGTCTCCTGCGTGACAGTGATTCCAATTTACAAAAGCAAACCCATCCAACAGCAGTTCCTTGCTGCTGTGACTCGCACGTCGGTGGCTTCCCAAAGCAGCAGGAGCCTCCTCCTGCAGAAGGAAAACGCCCTGACCAGGCTGTTCTGCCCCACGTTGCACAGTAATCAGAGTCTGAAGGACTTTGTTCCCATGGCAGTTACACCTGCACTATCTGCTGTGCTTGTTCACCTCCGGATGCAGCCTTTCCAGAGCCTGGCTTTAAGCTACACTCTTCATTCAAGCACAGGTCTGCATTAAATCAAGCCAACAGGAAAAGGAAAATCAGCATTCAGTCTTCACCACCACCCCACTCGAACTCAGTCATAAAAACAAATTAAAAAAGTCAGATCAATGCACACACGTCTTGGACAAGCGGACAGTAAACAAAGAGATCCCTGGATGAGACACGCGGCCGCCGGGGACGAGGAGACAGTGGGATTTGGGAGGGTTCCCACCACACCCCCCCAACCCCCCCGTGAGGGCTCTGAGGGTGCACACACAACCAACACGAGGCTCCGGGTGCTTCTCCAGGCGGTGGAAGCGCGGGTGGGAAGGGCCAGGCTGTGCCTGGGAGTGGTGGCTCAGGCAGCCGAGGACCCGCAGAGCCGACCACAACAGCACAGTCCTGCCGGGAGGAAGACGTGGGAGCTCAGCCCTGTGGGCTCAGACGCTTCCCGTGGCTGCTGGGAGCCCAGGCCCCATTCCTGGACTGGGAACACACACGGACAGGCAGGGACGTGGCTGAGATGTGGTCCCAGGCACCCACAGCTCGAGCAGGGCAGGCAGAAGCCACAGTCCCACTCTTGCAGGAAATTGAGCCCTGACTTTTTAAGCCCCCCCCCTGCCCCCAGTCAGGATTTAACTACAAGTTTTGTGTGTGTCTGGGGTTTTTTTTCCCCCCCTCTTAAAAAAGAAAAAGGTGCAATATTTGCCCAAATGCAGGAAGGCAGGACAGAAAGAGGGAGAGCTGTCACCACCTGCCCCAGAGGTACCAGCCCAGGCCGAGGGCTGTCCAGCAGGGCTGGGGACAGCCAGGAAAACTCCCCCGACCACCAGGATGTTTCCCCCGACCTCGGAGAAACGAGCCCCGTGTTGGTTTTGGTGACAGGCCCAGAGGGGCTTTGCTCAGGTAAAGCCTTTGCATCCCCGTCCAGCTTTACCTGAGCAAGAGCCGGCGTTGGAGGTTTCCCTGGGAACATTCAGCTGGTCTCAGATACAGTAGCGGTGACCTGGAGGCTCCTCCTGCTCCAGCTCCAGGCGAAGCCCCTTTGCGGTGCCAGAGGAGCAGTGGGAGTGTCCCCGGCGTGTCCCGGCCCTGGTGCCCGTCCAGGGGGAGGAGGCTGGGTCTGTGGGATGGCCGAAGTATTTACAGGGGTTTGCAGCAGGTATTTACAGTCCCTCTGCGGAGCGCAGGCCCACTCTCTCCTCCTCCAGCCCTAGTCAGTCCGGGGTGGGCTTCTTGAGGGAGAAGGGCCGGATGTTGAAGTGCCTGCTCAGCTGGCTCACCTGGGGACAGGGCACACACACAGGGATGGGTTAGCCAGGCTGGCAGGGCCGAGGGGAGAGGGCAGAGAGCCAGACCTGCTCCCAGGAACACGCCTCTGCCACCCCCCTGCACCCCCTGTGCCCACCCTGCATGCTCCCCACGGATCTGTGTCCCTGGTGTTGGGACTGGCCAGGCACTGGGTCCACTGGGTCCCACACCTCCCCAGGTAACAGCCTGGCCTCCCTGGCATCAGGCTCACTGCTGTTCCTGGCCCACCTGGAATCAGGCTCACGGCTGTTCCTGCCCTCCCGAGGGGCAGGAGTCGGGAATGCTGCCCTGAGCCCAGGCCTGCAGGATTTTCCCCCCTCACATTTTTACCCTGCTCCCTCTCTGCTCCTCCCAGCATTGCTTTCATTATTTTACCGAAATTAATTTGATATCTCAAAAAATAAATCCCTGAATCCATTCAAACTGGGGGCCGGATACTTCCCGCAGAAGGAGGCTGAGCTGGGAACAGAGGGTTTGTTCCTAATCACCCCTCCCAAACTCGGAGCAGTTTGGGGTTATGCCCCAGTCACAAAGCCTTTAAAGGCTCCTCGGCTCCAAGTGACTTTTATCCTGGAAGAAGGGATGGATAGACCCTCGGAAAGCCGGAGAGAGGGAAGGAGGGGAACAGTCTCTGGGAGGCTCCTGGGAGGGGATGGGCAAAGGTGGGCAGGAGGATTTCCCCACCCGCTCAGTCCCATCTCCAGACCAAATTTCTTTTAAGCTTTTTAGTTACTCAAATCCTTCTTGCACAGGAGCCTCTTTGCCCTGATTGATTGGAAAGACAGGACAACCTGGTTGTTACTCCTGGCTGGAACTACAGCTGGAACTCGACCCTGAGGCACCATGGTAGAGCTGGGCTTCCCAGGAGAAGGGGTTTCCCAAGGAGGGTGTCCCCAGCTTGGCAGGGGACATGGGGTTCCTTGTCCTCCTTCCTTGCCCTCAGCAGCTTCCTGGGGCATTCCTGAGGGGACTTGGGTCTTGTACAGGTTTGTTTTCCCTCTTGATCAAAACTCAGGCAGAGCAAGAGGAGCAAATCCCTGGATCTCAGCCCTGACAGCGGGGGAGGTGGCCTTGCAGCTCCAGTGTTCCCACTTTCCCTACCAAGGACATCCCCCCTCCATCCTGGCTCTCCCAGCACCTTGGAGACCTCACTGGGAGACCTCAGAGCTCCTTCCAGTGCCTGATGGGACTCTAGGAGAGCTGGAAAAGAACTTTGGACAAGGGCTGGAGGGACAGGACACAGGGAATGGCTTCCCGCTGCCAGAGGGCAGGGAGAGATGGGAGATTGGGAAGGAATTCCTGGCTGGGAGGGTGGTGAGGGGCTGGGCTGGAATTCCCAGAGAAGCTGTGGCTGCCCCTGGATCCCTGGAAGTGTCCAAGGCCAGGTTGGACGGGGTTTGGAGCAACCTGGGCTGGTGGGAGGTGTCCCTGCCCATGGCAGGGGGTGGGACTGGATGAGTTTAAGTTCCCTCCCAACCCAAACCATCACGGGATTCCAGGGTTTGTTTCCAGCTCCCACAACACAGCCCTGGGGATACAACAGCACACTGAGTGCAGCTCCTCTCAGACCCCTGCAACCCTGCAGGGCTCCAGCCCACGCTCCAGGCAGCCACAGGCAGCACCACCAGGACATTCCCACCCGCGCTCCCACTTTCCCAGCTGTTCCCACCCGCGATCCCGGTTTCCCGCGGCACATTCCCCCCCCCCCCAGGAGCCCACGTACCACGAGCACGCCGTAGTGGATGTGTGCCAGGGTGAGGAAGGCCGTCAGCAGATAGAGCAGCAGGGTCTCGCTGTGGGCCGCCAGCCCTGAGGCGACGAGCAGCAGCGCGGCGGCGATGGGCAGCAGCATCCAGTGCAGGGGCCGGCACCGCGTGCTGCTCATCTGGCACACGATCAGCTGGCACTGGGGACAGGGGGGCACGGCCTGAGCACGGGCTGGGCTCCCTGGGCACGGGGGATGTCCCCAGGGTGCGGGGGGATGTCCCTGTGCTGGCACTGCTGGGGCACCTCCAGCGCTGGGGCAGCTCTGGGCCCCTCAGACAGGAGACACAGGGAGGGGCTGGAGCGTGGGCAGGGAAGGGAAGGGAGCTGGGAAGGGGCTGGAGCAGCAGGAATATCTGAGGGAGCTGGGGGGGCTCATCCCAGAGAAAAGAGGGATCAGGAGGGACCTTTTCCTGCCCCACAACCCCCTGACAGGAGGGGGGAGCCGGGGGGGGTCGGGCTTTGCTTCCAGGGAACAAGGGACAGGAGAAGAGGGAAAAGCCTCCAGCTCTGCCAGGGGAGGCTCAGCTGGGATACTGGGACAATTCCTTGATGGAAAGGGCTGTCCAGCCCTGGCACAGCTGCCCAGGGAGGTGGTGGAGCCCCATCCCTGGCGGGATTTAAAACCCCTGTGGATGTGGCACTTGGGGACATGGCTCAGTGTGGATCAGCCTGGGCAGTGCTGGGGGATCGGCTTGACCTGATGATCTTAAAAGCCTTTCCCAACCTCAAGGATTCTGCAAATCTATGAATATGCAGCTAGATCACATTCTGACCAAAAAATTAGTCCCCACCCTTTTACATTTACCCTCAAAACTAAAGCAGGAGCTTCCTTCCCATCAGCCCTTTGCTGTTCACAGCACAGAGGGTGCAGGAGCCTCTGAGAACACTCAATTTAACTAACTCTCCAGTTTCTCAAACATAAAGCAAAAGCTGCTCACAGAGATGTTGGCAAAGGCTGTTCCAACCATGAAGTAGAAGAGCCTGGGCTGGACCTCCAGGATGTCAGAGGGGGACAGGAAGATCCACGTGGTGCAGAGCAGGAACAGCAGCACCGGGGACACGAGGGGCAGCAGGATCTCATACACAGAGTGGTGCTTCAAGGTGTTGTTTTTATAGGCCCTGGAACACAAGGAAAGAAATGAAAATACATGGAATCAATGGGAGATCCCTGGTGGTGCCTCCAGTAAATACCTGAGGGGGCTCCAGGAGAGCTGGAGAGGGACTGGGGACAAGGGATGGAGGAACAGGACACAGGGAATGGCTTCCCACTGCCAGAGGGCAGGGAGAGATGGGAGATTGGGAAGGAATTCTTGACTGGGAGGGTGTTGAGGCCAGAGAAGCTGTGGCCGCCCCTGGATCCCTGGAATTGTCCAAGGCCAGGCTGGATGGGGCTTGGAGCAACCTGGGATAATGGTAGGTGTCCCTGCCCGTGGCAGGGGGTGGGACTGCATTCATTTAAGGTCCCTTCCCACCCAAACCACCCTGGGATCCCAAAAAACTCACTTGTAGAAGTTGTACAGGCTCATGGGCAGCGTCACAGTGAGAGCACAGGCTGGAAGAGAACAGAGCCACGTCAGGGCCCTGCTTTGAGGGTCCCTCACGTGCCCCCTGCACGTGCAGCTG